TGTCTTCAGAAACACATCCAAGCAAATGCGTCACTATAACCTTGTCCAAGCTAACTAGGTATTCAGTGTTGAGCTCTGTTTGGATATACAACATAGCGTGCTAATTAGCTATATGTCCAGGTGTGATATACAAACATTCAATCCAACTAATGTTATATGCTTATTACTCAGTTTCCTAGAACTAATAAGGAATAATCATGAGCTAAACCACCTGTCAAATGTTTAAACAGATTATTACACAAAGATAAATTTGATAACAAGTAAACAAATTACTCTCTAACGTAACTTCCTCTCAAAGTGACACTGGATCCATGTCAATAAAACATCTTACCAAGTTTTAGCACAACAATAAGTACATCAATTCTAAAAGATAAGTAATCTCACCTGATATCCAATATTGTTGATCTGGTTTAACTAAATTTATATTGATTTCTAATTTTAACATGATAAGTTGCTTAGAATCTTCACTTTCGTTGTTGCACCTGTGTCGTCATGACGTGGATGTGGGTTCCATATTGGATTTGATCAACTAAAATCAACCGAGAAATTAGAGAGATATAATGATTTTTGTAAGCACAACAAAGCTTAGGTGAAATTGATGAAATAGAATACTTTGTAGATAAAAATTTCTATATCAGTTCTTTTCCTTTTATCTCCTTCAAGGATTCTCTCCTTGATCAGTATCTTCCCATCCAAATTCCTTGTAAGTTTTCACATAATTTCTCATCATTTAGACATATAACTCTATTTTTCGATATTTGAATTATTTTTTGCTGAATCCCTAGTCCCTACACAATTATCCATACTAATTGGATCCATACCCCGAATCTTGAAATATAAATCATAAAGGATCCAACCTCTATACCCGCGTATTGTACGCGGGCACCGAATCGAACAACTTATAAGTAAACATGTATTTCTTATTTTAATTTAAATTAAATAAATACAAATACTTAACAAACGTTTACATGATAACTATTTAAAATTATTGCTTGGTTTAAAGAATACTAATTATGAAATGAACCCCGATTCTCACATTTTTTCATTTTATTTAAGACAAAATATTCCTTATTGAAACGATTATCAAATACTGAAAAAATACTTTGCCGAAATAAATTGATCAAACACAAATGACCGTTCTCCAAAAGTATTTATCTAAAAAGTTATTTTAACAAAAATACTTTTCAAAATAAGCAATTTTAATTCGGATCCTCGTGTTAATAAACAGGATGATGCCTTCTTATATTTTGCTCTCGATAAGGTTTGATTCGAGTCTTGCTCGACTTCTGTTGGTCAAAATTTGTGTTACTGTAAAATTAAAAATGAAGTGGCTAAAGTAATTTATATATAGGAGCTAAATTTGCAACACCCTTTTTGTATCGAACCTCCTTAATTTTCTGCTTTAATTTTATCACATTTCATGCATTAGCAGAAAATAATAATAATTAAAAATCAATTCTAACAAGTTTAAAATGAAAACAACGGCGAATTTCAATCAAATCTAAAAGTATCTTCTTTCCTCTCTTTTTTTTTTTTTTGGTCATTTCTGGTATAATTTTTGTAAATGCTTATCTTTTTATTCAACAAAAAATAGATATTTTTTTTCTCTCAAACGTAATTTACAAGATTTTAACTTTTTTTATGTTATATGTTTACAGTAATTTACAAAATATGATCTGAAGTTTTTTCTAATTCCAATTTTTTAGAGATTATCTCAAGTTCGTGTTTTGTATCTTCTATATGTTTTTTATTAAGGATATTCATGATTTCATTTGACTAAATTTATAAATAAAATTAAAATTAATCAAAAAGAAATTAGAAAATATAATTAAAAGTGATGATATAAATGAGGAGTCAAAATTAGTTGAAGATGAAAATTTTCTTACCAAAGTTGGTGAGTTTTTCTTAATTTTTTTTTTGAAAACTATGATTAAGACGCTTGTTAAATTTAATTTAATATAGACCTTCAAAATTTTAAATATGACATGTGTCACTCATCTAAATATACACTTGAAGAAATGGAGAGGTGAAAGGAGATGAGCCAAGACCTTTCTTTTAAGTCTTGACTCCTCCTAATCGATTAAATATATTGCGCAATTTGTGGAATAAAACTCTTAAGGGGTTGTTGGTACGAGAAGTGGGATAGACGAAATTATTCTATGAATTGGGATATCCCATGATGGATGAATAATTTTGTTACTAATTAATATACCTAACCAAACATGAAATACAATAATATTACATTTTTCGAAATTGTTGTCCCTTATCTCTTATATCAAATCATCTTTTAATGTTGGCAATGACTAGTCATACAAAGATTTCTTGTCCTCATTATAAATCCATCATACCTAAGTGAAAGAGGACTTGTTCATGCCACTTAGCTAGAGAAAATTCAATATGATGAACACAATAATAGATCAAGTAAACAAATGAAAAAGAATAGATGCAAAATAGATATACAGACTCATAAATTTGAGTAGATACCAGGATACACTTTCAAAATTTAAATGTCATTTTCAATTTTAATATGCAATTAACTATTTTTAATCAAACATACAGGACATCTTTGAATATACAATATATATTTGGCTAAGAAAATATTAATTTATCTCATCATATTTATAGAGGAAAATCGATGAAACAATAAATTAGAGTTAACAAGGAAAAATGAAGAAGATCCGCACTAAAGAAAGATAGAAAATGTCCTATATGCTTGAATCTGTTTTTGTTAGCCATGTTTTTCACTCTATATCTGTTGTGCTCTGGCTTAATGAAACCTCAACAAATGAGCTTCAAATTCCATGGGAATCAAGCATTTATATGCTTCTTCTTCTACAACCTCATCAAACAAAGAATATCATGAGTAGGGGATTGTTTTCCATAAAGAGCCTCATATAGGCTGTTTTGTGTATATGGCTGAATGAAAAGTGGTGTTGTACCACCATTTAGTTATTCTCAACCTGAATCCTTTAGACTATAGGGTCTATTTTTATACCTATGTATTGTTAACCCCGGCCACCGCATATCTCATAAAACAAAATTATGTCATCTACATGCAAATAGCATACATCATGACACCCTCTCCTTAGGTATGCCACACTAGTTCATCAGTCACCAAAACAAATAGAAATGGACTAAGAGATGATCCTTGGTATAACCCCATCACGAATAGAAAGATATCTAAGTCTCCCCCAACTATCCTCACTTGAGTTTTGGTTCCATCATGTATATCCTTAATTGCCCTAATATAAGCTACACATACGTCTTTAGCCTCCAAAACATCTCCATAGAACCCCACCCCAAGGACTTTGTCGTAAGTTTTTAGGTCAATGAACATTATATCTAAGTCTCTCTTCCTCTTCTTAAGCTGCTCCATTAATTATCTCCTTATTAAATGTATGTTTTTTGTAGTTAAACACCCCTGGCATTAATTCAAATTGGTTCGTGGTGATAGACACACCCTCATCATCCTCATCTCTATCACCTCTCCTAAACTTTCATAGTGTGACTTACCAGTATGATACCCCTATAATTTGTTACAATATTAATTATCACCCTTGTTCTTCATTGTACTCCATCTCTATTCTTTAGGCATTTTTTATGTGCTAAATGATCTCGCCAGACCGGGACGCCCTCTCCCTTCTCATCTTTCGTCTAACCTACATAAACTTAACATCCCTACAATATCCAAAATTTCAACGACTCTTCCAGTACTCTAAATCACCCAACAAAATAATAATAACTACTCTTAATCGTTGTTGCTGTTGTTGTTGTTGTTATTATTATTATTACTCCTTATGATTTATATTGTATGAAGTTTTTAGTTTAAGCACATTCCTTAAGAAATTTGTTCACTTCTAGAAAGAGGTGTTTTTACTAAGTTATTGTTAGTTTAATAATATACAGTATAGTTTTTTTATTATATAAAAATTCATTTTTCTAACTAAGGGTGTAAAATAATAATAATTAATAACCTGTTAATTATATAAAATAAATTATTAACTTAAAACTAATAAATATAAAAGCTAAAATCACTAGTATATTAATATTACCATATAATATTTGAACAAGACGAGGGAATATTATGTAGGGGCCTCGACTATACCTTTTTATTTAAATTAAGACCCTACATTGAAAATAGTCAAGCAAAGAAAGACCTAGATAATAATTTGAGACAACATTAATAAACGTATCTACTCATAATGTGTCTATAACGTGTCTACTTGCTCTCTCTTTACTATCATTGGCTCAAAAAATTCTGATGACTAGTATAACAGTAAAGGACTCACCCACTTTGTTTTCCTACATAACTTTAAAAATCAGTTTTTAATTATAAAAATTTTAAATTCTATTTAATGTTGGATTCCGAATTTGAAAAAATAGCTCATAATCAGTTTTCCAAATAAAATGTTATTTTCTCTCCTTTCCTTTGCAAAAAGTATACCAAAAAATAAACCTATCTTCTTCAACTTCAATTTTTTTTTTAAATGGAAATATAATAGGATGTTGTTAAAAAGTCTCGCATCAGTAGAGAGATGAAACATTGATCTCCTTATATCAACTTGAACAAATCTCTCCTCGTGATCTAATTTTTGAGATTGAATTAGGCTCAAGTGTAAAAAAAAACTCTTATTTGTATTACCAAACACAATTAGTCAATTTTTAAAATATCATTTACTATTTTAAAAACAAAAATTACTTTTTTTTAAAAAAAAAATCACAATAAAACATGATTAAAAAAAAAATACCCACGTGAACCACCCAGGGCTCACTAGAAATTGAAAAGCTTCGATTGTTTGCACCTGATGCGACATTGGGTGTATTATAAATAGAGTAATCTGAGCATTTAACAGCTCAGTTATGAGCTTGCCCCAATTACGTGTGCGCTCCACATGTCAAAAAACAATTCCAGTGTTTATTTTATACTCCTAATAACAAATAACTAACCCACGACTTTCCCACGCTTACAATTCATCCTTAAAATAGCCCAATTTCTCTTTCACAATCTTCAATATCTATCCAAAAAAATAAAAAAAGCTACCTAAGTCAGTGAGTCAGTATCAGTCCCACTTTGATCTATAGCATGGCTGATTATCATTTTAACGTTTCCCCAAATGACAATTCTCCTCCTTTAGAAAATCTTTCACCCACTGGGGGCACCTTATTATCACCTCGTAGGCATCCGAATTTCAGAGGAATTCGACAGAGGAATGGGAAATGGGTCTCCGAAATTCGTGAGCCTCGAAAGACTACACGTATATGGTTAGGAACTTTCCCCAATCCCGAAATGGCAGCTGTCGCTTATGACGTTGCAGCTTTGGCATTAAAAGGCCCTGATGCCCAATTAAACTTTCCTGATTGTGCATACTCGTACCCTATCCCTGCTTCTCTGTCAGCCGCAGATATTCGTGCTGCGGCTGCAAATGCTGCTGCTGCTAGAGCACCTCCTTTGTCAGAATTCAGTACAGCTGGAGGTACTGCAGCAGCAGCAGCGGGAGGTGGGCAAGAGTTTGTGGATGAAGAAGAGATATTTGGAATGCCGAAATTGCTGGATGATATGGCAGAGGCAATGCTTGTTAGCCCGCCAAGGATGCATCAATCAACTTCTTACGATGAATCACCTGAAAACTCTGATGCGGATAGTCTTTGGAGTTACCCATAAAAGTATGAGTAAAATATGGCCCCCCCTTGTGTACAGTCCAGAAACTAGAATAACGGAACCACTATTTATAAGTTAGTGGGGTTTGCATTATGTTTTTGTTTGTTATGGTGTTTATTTTGGTAAAACAAATAGTCCTTTCAGCAGTAGTTTCTAGAAAGGACATGTCATTGGATTTCAAGAAACAGTATGTGTTTTAGAAGCAAGAAGTTACTTTACTTTTATTGAAAACAATGAATTTGACTTTCTAAAAAATCATTTTTTTTTAACAAGTCAAAGAAAATTGTTTTCATGTTTTGAGTAACATATACACCCCATATATTTGTTGGTGTGTGGACTCTCTATATAGGTGAGAAGTCTTTTTTTCTTGTGATAATAAGGGCTAATTAGAATCATTTTGTCTTCTAAGTTCCAACCCAGAGATTTAATTAGATGGGGTCAAGGAGAGCTTGTTCTGAAGGTTTGACTATGTGTAGTAATAATATATTGTATGTATGTGTCAGAATGCCCAATCCTACTCGTTTTTTGACATATATGTATTAATGAATGAAAATGATAGATTATGTTACTCTATTGTTTCCATTTATATAATTCACTCCTTTTTTAGCTAGTGCTAAAAATAATGATATATTTTTATATTTCATAACAAATATTCATCGGTTATTGTAGATAGCAAGTTTTAAAAATATTTTTTCTTTAAATTTTGTGTTGAGTTAAACTACATCACATAAAATGAGACATAGAAAGTATTACATTTTGTGTTGATAGTTGGCTTAATAACCAACGTTATTAAGCATATTTGGTAAACGCATTTGACTAAACATCAAATTAAAATTATATATATTCTCTTATTTATTTTCTTCATTTACTTTTATTTGTTCAGTATTTTAAATTTTTATTTTTATTTTTATTTGTTACTTTTAACTTATCAAGAAAAGATAAATAAATAAAACAAAGAAAATATGAATTTTGTTAAGTACCAAATATATATATATATAAATTAAAATATGAAAGTTATCCTTTAGATGAATAGGGGCTAAAATTTCACTTGTCTTTATTATAATTTTTTCACTATTTATAAAAGCATCGAATAATAAATTATATTGGTGTGTAGGATAATACACGAAATTAATTGGTAGTTAAATCAAGGATTCACAAGCTTAATAAAGAGAACTCTTCGTACTCAAAGTTATTTTGGGTTTCATCACTCTACGATTAAGAATTTTCTTATGAGACTCACTACCAAAATCCTATACCTTTTTAAATTCATTATTGGTATATATGTTAATCATTTATCATTAGTTGTTATAAACTTTTTCTTTATATTTCTATTATCAGATCAATTTAATACATATTTTCATAAAATACATATAAAAATTTGATTGTACCTTTTTAAGAGTGACTATTTGGCACCCATCGCAGGGTCAGAAAATTGTGGGAACATGAATTTAGAGGAGACCACACAATAAAAAAATTGTACAAAATCAATGGATTGCGTAGTTTTTTTATGTGTTTTTTTTTAAAAAATAAAATAAAAAATCAACAGACTTAAAAAAAAATTGGTGGACGTCCATTGATTTTCTGGTAAAAATGTGTGAAAATTAAGAAAAATATTCTTATAAGAAAAACGCAATCCCTCAATTTTTAATTTCTTTTATGGAAATCGAATGACTCCACCAATTTTTTTAAGTGCAAAATCGCAGTTGAGTATAAATTAAAAGCAACTGGTTTATCAAAAAAAATGTGTGGTCTGGTGGTAGAATTGCTCAATGTCATAACAAGTACTTATAAAATTGATGGATGTCCTTCAGTTTTAATCCAGGAAGATTGTCGATTTTCTTAAATCGACCCATCGAGTTCATCTATAGATTTGTCCCTCAATTTTTATTATTTTTATAAAAAATAGAGCAGCGAGAATTCTGATAAATTATTAGCAGAGTAAAATTGATGGGATATGAGATGATCATTATGAAATTGGAGGCTTCTTTTCAAACTTCAAGCTCCATAATATACTTACGCTGATATTTAAAGAATAGATTACAAGGCTCCTCAAGACAATTAGAAATCCAAAAGCTCCTAATAATTGATGTATGAATTCATATCTCTTTCTCCCTTTGGATGATATCTCATATTGGAATGTTAATCTAACTAGAATCTAGATTCTCTTTGAGTTAATTGATTACATATATAATTTCAGTTTTAGATTAATATTTTTTTTTTTCATATCCTAAATTTAAAATTATTGATTACATTTTCATATATCTAGGTAATAAATTGATTAGGTGTTTGTGTTTACCCCCAACAATTCTTTTAATCTTCATATTCTTTAATTATTTTATATAATTATTCATGATATTCATGTGAGGTTGAATAATCCATCTTCAATTTCTTTGAATTTTTAATCACATTTCACATCAAATTAGTATCAGAGCTGAAATCCCCCCTTCCCCCTGACAATTTATAATCCCGAGCTTTCTTCTATTAAAAAAAAGAAGATATGAAATTGGACAAATTTTCTAATGGATTTTGTTTAAAATAGTGTTGATTATGAAATTTGAGAGCATTTGGATAAATTTTTATACAATTTTCTTTTATTTTTCAGACTAAAATTTCAAAACTATGTGGAGTGCGAAAAATTAAGTCTTGAAGCTCTTTATAAGCAAGTTTTTACCACTGTCTCCACTCGAGTCTTTTAAATTTTGAGTTTGTCTATCGATTTTGGCTCTCAATTTTTAGTGTTTTTAGTAATTTTTAACGTCTATCAATGTTGACCCTTAAGCTTGTCTAGATTTTTGCCACTTGAGTCTTTTATGCTAAGCATTACACATATTGTTGTATGTAGCGAGAAGTGTCTAATATGATTGTTTTTTTTAGTAACATATGGGTTTAATAGGAATATAGCTACTTTTTAGTGTCATGGTAAAAAAAAAGGGAAAAGAAATTTAAAGAGCCGCTTATAACTTTAGCCTTTAATTGATGAATAAACCAAATGACAATATTCTAGTGTTTGGTCATCAATGATCAAGACTATTGACTACTTTATTCTAGCATAATACATTTCTTATTCTAATCAATAGGGAATTGAAATTGGAATAGAAATATGAAAGGTTAACTCTAATTCTTGAGGTTTACCTTTCATGTAAATGCCTTTTGGTCCCCTATAGCTTTTACTTAAAAGACAATTGGTGTGTAGCTTTCTTTTTTTAAATACCGCTAGTACTAGCTAGTAGTACCAATTAAGGGAATTTATAAAGGATAAAGGGCTCTTCCTTCCAAAATTGTACATAATGGATATCATAAACTGAAAAGGACTCGTTAGCAGAAATGTTACGTTTAGAATATTCAAAGAGAATATTTAATGTAGTCACAATCTTGATCAAGTGAAATGTTTGTTACATTGCCATCATATAAATTTTAAGAACTTGACAAGGCTTGTAAAATATTTAGAGTTACTTTTATAAAGAACTTTGAATTATTGTAATGTTATTATTTGAAGTATTTTTTTTAAAAAAAATAGTATTAAATTCAAAGTATTTATATGTATGAATACTCCTTGAATTTTATTTATATTTTAGTTTACAACTTAACATTTTAAAAATATTTTAATGAGTAAACATTCTCGAAATTAATTTCCTTGTTCACAACTTCACATAAGAAAACAAGAATAAATCTACTTATGTGAAAGAAAAAAAACATATATAATGTTGAAACGATTAAAAAAAATCTTGAAGGATTATTAACAAAATGTACAACCTTTATGGTTAAAAATAATTTATTTTAGATTTTAAAAATATTATTTAGTGTAATAATAAACTAATAAATAAATAAAAGAATTTTTGTAGAAGCATCAAGAAAAATGATTATATATACATAAATATGTATTTCAACTTGGTCTCAGTTCACATTTATATCCTTCAATTTTGGATATGCACAAATAGACATTTAAACTTATATAAATTTAAACAAATAGACACATGCATTCTATGTAGCATCCTACATGGTAATTTATATCATACATGATATCCTACGTGTATTATGTCAAGTAGGACTCATGTGTCTACTTGTTTAACTTTATACAAATTTTATGTGCTTAGATGTGCAAATCCAAACATAAACATAAAATGAGGTCAAGTTAATATATA